CGAGGCTGTGAGTTCAAGGCCCGAGGCAGGCTCCGTGTTGAGTGTGTAGAGTCTGCTTAGGATATTCTCTCCCTCTCTCTCTCTCGCTGCCCCTCCCTTGCTCATGTTCTCTCTCTCTCAAAATAAATAAATAAACATTTTAAAAAAGAAGAAGAAGAGGAAAAGAAAGAAGATCTCTTCCTTTATTTGACACAAGGATAGGGAAGAAGAGGACTTGTAAGGCCACAGGCACATTGCATGAAGGGGCACCAGAAGCTGGTATCCACCAGGCCTTTCCTCTGCCAGAAAGCCTCTCTGGAAGGGGCAGACAGCTCACAGATGCCCTGGATGCCCTCTGTGTCAATCATAGAAAAGTCATGACTGTCCCTTTCTTGCCAATCTGCCAGGGCTCCAGGGGGGAAAATCGGATAATTATCCTTCAAGAGACAGAAAAAAAAAAAAAAAAAAGATGTCATTAGCTCCTTGGCTAATGCCTCATATTCCAAGACCCCTAGCCAGGCACTCCCAACATGGACTCCCTGACCAGCCTGCCTTAGTCTGGCAGGCATTTTGCAAGCCCGCTTCATCTCGTTAATGATCTCCCCCTGGGGGCCCGTCAGAAGCAGGATGTGGCTGCCCCTGGACAACACTCAACATAGCATCCTCGATGGTCGCTGTATGCTGTCTACGGGCTCAGAGGTGCAGCCCTCCCGCTTTCAAACTCCAGGCTCTCTGGGGCATCCGCAGTGCCCCTGACACCTTTGTTTCCTCAAAGCCTAGCACAAAACCAGGCACGGGGTGACCCCCCACTTATGTCTGTGGAGTGAACAAACATGTCCCTCTCATAGAAGTGATGGAAAATTCCTGGTGAAGAGCAGGATACTTGGGGTAGCCTAAGGGGTCATAGGGGAAAGGCTGTATGTGACAGCTTTAGCTTTCCCATCAGTAACCCTCATGGGGATGGCATGTCTGCACAAGGTGGTGTGAACAGAGGGGCAGAGCTTGCATGGATCCAGTGGGATCATGCATGTAAGGTACCTAGCTGGAACATGGTAAGCGTTCATATGTTACCTATTATTGTTACAATTATTATCTCACCCCAGCTTAAGGACCAGGTCTGAGCACTCCCAGGGTGCTCCCCTACCTGAGCCAACAAAGGATCCATTCTGGAAGATTCTTTCAAGCTTCTCTTGCTCTTAGTTCCTCACAGGCATGGGCGTGGCACAGGAATATTTTTCACCCAGGAAGAAACTTTAGCCCTGCCACAGAATCCCATGTTTATGGGCTATATGGGCTTCTTGGGTGATCATTTAATACATGCCCCTCTAGTCACAGAAGAGAAGGCTGTGCTGGACCTAGAACCCAGGTCTCCAGACATCTGGGCTACAGGCCCAAAGGTCACACAACTTCAGGACATACCCAGAATTCCTCCTGACCAGGCTGGAGAAGCTCTCCTAGAAAATTACTCTTGATTTTCTAAGATGTGGAGAAGACTAAAGGCAAATCATAAATGGCTATAGCTTTGTCAGGTTAATAACATTCTACCCTGCATGGTGCCAAGGGAGCTACAGTGCACTGCCATCCCACATGACTTTGGCAATAACCCCAGGGAGTAAAGTCTAGCCTTCCCGCTTTCAAAGATGGAAACATTGAGGTTGAAGAAGCCACGCCTTGCCCACGTGTCAAGGGGACTATGGCAGAGCCAGGAATTCATTCAATTCCACTACCATTCTGAGGGTAGACATACCATCCGAGGACCTGGGGCCCTCGGCCCTTCTTGGGCAGGGCGAGGAGTGCATTTCCCCCCCCCCCCCCCCGCCCTCCCCAGCCTTGCAAGGGGCCTTGGGATGGGATCACTGCCCCCATCTTCTCCCTGCCCCCACGCACCGATCCTGGCCCAGGCCCATCTCCTTGGTGAGGAACTCGAAGAATCGGGCGCTGTGTCCACGGTTCTCCTCGGCGGTGCCCACCACACCGATAGAGGAGATGATCAGCTGCGCGCAGGGATCCGTAGAGCCGTTCACCGCCATGGCCAGACCTGGTCGCACCGTCACGTTCACGCGCTGCGGGGAACACGAAAGTTTCGCCTGAAGTTTGTGCAGGCCGAGTTGCTCTGAGGACCCCGGAGGGCGACACCCTACACGCACGGACCCCTGGGGTCAGGGCTAGAGGCTCGGGGCGGGGTCCTTGGAGGTCACGCTGGTGTCAGGGCCAGGGAAAGCAGCAAGGAGCAGACATGAGGGGTGGGGCCGCGGGGTCACAGGGATAGGTAGGCCGCAGATCCCTGCGACAAAGAGCCCGGGTTGCGGTGGGGTAGCCGGGACGTGGACAGAGCCTGACCTCTGGTCCACCAGCCTCAGCCCGCCCCATGTTCCCCGGTCCATGCTCACGTCCTCAGGTTTGCTCAGGATGGTTGCGGTGGCCGCGCAGAGCCGCTTCTCCAGTCCTGCGGGCACACGGCCGGTAGGCAAATTCGTGTCCAACTCAACAAACGGCATGTCTGGCGGGAAGGAACTGGAGAGGCCACAGGAGCAGAGAAAGAACACACAGGGTACAGGTTGATGTTCCCGAGGGTCGCGGAAAAGACAGCAGTAGTGGGGCTCCACGAAAACCAGGCTCCTTATTGGCTGGGCAGACACGCAGCGCCCCCGGATTGGCTGCATAGTATACACCCCGCCTCTGATGGCGCGAATTTCCGGAAGTCCTAGGCTGGCAGGGGGGTGACTGGGGTGTGTGACCCTCCCCCAAAGACACTGGCTGAGCCATGGCCCCGCCCACCGTGTCCCAACCAATGCAGGCTCCAGCCACGTTGGCCGGAGGTTTTCCAGCTCGCTGAGTTGTGGGTGATGCAGTCCTCTGCTTCCTAATACGTATTTAGATTGTTAACCTTGGAAATAAAATTGCCAGTCATTTTACCAGTAAAAATGGGTTTATTTGGGGGGAAATTTTTTATTTGTTCGAGGATAGCAGAAAATTGCAATTTGGGACATGCAGCCTAAGGCAAAACCATAGGCAAGTCCAACCAATAAAGAGAAACTTTTTTTTTTTTTTAACAGAGAAAAGGGAGGAGTTGGGAAGGACTGTTAAAAACAAAAAGTCCGTGGGAATAAACTGGGAGTTAAAAGTGCAATGGTTTTTCAATAGCCGGGTTGTGACAGTCTCCATTGACTGGACTGTTTCGGAGCCGGCATCTTTCATTCCCCTGCAAGTAGTATATAGTCTTTTCACCTTGGGAATGCAAGGTGGGTTTCTTCCTGTAGGAGTAGCAAAGGGTTGCAATGAGTAGCAGGTGTGAGAGCTCCCCCTTCTGGCCTCCCAACTTTATTTTAAATGAGGTTTCCTTTATTCAGTTTCACAAAATGGGGGTCTGAACACACGCAAAACACGCACACCTGTAGGGGCCTTCCCCAGTCTCCATTTTTTTTTTTTTTTTACCGTGTTACCACCGTTTTCAAGTTACGCAACTTAACGTTATATGTGAAAATCTGCGCGTCAAAATCTGTGTTTCTCTTGACCAGGAGCCAAGTGACACCTGTGAATTCAGGTGAGGTTGGGTAGAGAACTCTGGTTCTCCACATCCCTACCTGACTCCCACAGACATCTTATCTGCCTTTGTGGTCTCTTGCACCTGTGGCAACCTTGTTTCATAGTGAAGTACTATCCACCAAGGGGTGAAAGCCATGTTTACAGTACCCTCTATTTTTATAGTCAAACAAAATGCATTACTTAGCACCTGGAAACCTGTTGACGTGGCTAGACATAGTACTTGCATCAATGTTGCAAAGTTGTTTGAATTGTGAATGAAAATACAATTGAAATTGTGTGGGTGGGTGTGAATGATCTCAATTACACTTCTAAAATTCTATATGAGTGTGCATATTAAAGAAGCTTTGGGACACCTGGCTGGCTCAGTTGGTGAACCATGCAACTATTGATCTCAGGGTTGTAGGTGTGAGCCCCATATTGGGTATAGAAATTACTTAAAAATAAAATCTTTTTAAAAAGATGGGGTGCCTGGGTGGCCCAGTCAGTTAAGCACCTGACTTTGGCTCAGGTCATGATCTCACAGTTCGTGGGTTCAACCACCACATCGGGCTCTGTGATGACAGCTCAGAGCCTTGGAGCCTGATTCAGATTTTGTGTCTCCTCCTCTCTTTGACCCTTGCCCACTCACACTCTGTCTCTCTTTCTTTCTCTCTCAAAAATAAACATTACAAACAAGGTGGGGAGAGCCTCCATGAGAAGGCAGGCAGGCTGAGAGGCTCTATTCATGACCCTGTCCCATTAGAAGTTTGTTGGATGACTAAAATATCAGAGGGTCTAGAACACAAGACAGGTAGATTGTGACAGTCTTGAGGAGAAAGGAGAAAGACAGGTGGCAAGTCTGGGACCCAGGGTGGGGCACAGATAAGACATTGGTTGGGGTTATGACTAGGCTTGGGAGATCAAGGCCTCTCAGCAGCACCCAGAGGGCCAGAAACTAATCTGGGACTTCCCTCCCTGTAAGGCACTTCCTAAACCAACCTTGCACCCCACCTCTGGGAGACAGCATCACCCCCAAGGGACGACAGAGACATAAGAGATGAAGGCCATGTCCAATTCAGACATCTCTTCGCCAGGTCAACCCCCAGCTGTGACAGATGCTCAGCCCAGGGGGTGTGGAACCAACTCTGTTCTAGGACTGAAAGAGGGAAGCACGGGGGGCTGAGGAGCCCAGAGGGGTCACCTGTCTTGGCCTGGGGCTGGAGAATTCAGGGAAGTCTCCCTAGAGAACCAACATGGTGACAAATGCCTAAAGACGAGGAGGGGCACCAGGCAAGGTGAGGAGAGGCCCTATAGGCAGTGGAAACAGCCTGAACGAAGGCCAGGAGGTGGAGGTAGAGGTGAAGGCATCTAAAATGATGGGCTATTATGTTCAGTCAGAAGGGGGTGCCCTGGAGGGATGGGCAATGCAAAATTCAATGATTCATACTTTAGCCTCAGAGCAGCAAGGCACCACAGGAAGTTTCAAACACAAGAGGGACAGGGTCAAATATGTGTTTACTAAAGCTCTTTCCAGGGATCACGTGAAGCCAGAGTGGAAGGGGCGGGAGTGGAGTGAGGAGGAGACAGACAAAAGGAGGAATGAAGATCTCATGCATGAAGGAAACTAGGGACCAGAGGCTGGACAGCATGTCTTGCTTACAGCTTAGGAGGGGCAACTCCATCTCTTCTTCCAACAACAGAGTCTCTGTCATCTCTGCAGGCCTGATGCTCCACTCACTGCAACAAAACCTGCACTGAGGGCTTCAGCTTCTCCTTTATGGCGCTGTCTGCTGGAGGCAAGTCCTTAGCCTTCATGACAACCGCATGTGCCTCCTGAAAGAGGTCCTTCCCCACGGCGGCCTCCACACGTTGGCGCCATGCGGCCAGCTTGGGTCGGCTTTTGAAGACTTGGCAGCCAGCACTGACAGGCTGTGGGGAGAGGAAGCCAGGTGGAGGGGCTAGCCATGGACAAGCACAAGGCAGTATGACCTGGTTGAGGGATTCCCCTGGGTGGATTTTTCCTCCTCTGCCACACATGGAATAGGCTGGAGGTTCTCTCCCAGGAGACACTAGGAAGCTTCTTAATATCACTACACAATGGGGTCTCAAAGGCCCATTTCACCAATGAGAACACTGAGGCTCAGAGAGGGAAGTGACTTGCCGAGGGTCACACAGCCTGAAAGGGCAAGGTGAGCTGGTACAATGGCGCCCTCCCAGGACACCCCACTGCCTAGTGGACTACCTTACCCAATGGCACTCACATGCATCAGCTCTGTGATGGCCACCAAGTCAGCCACTGAGATGTGGGGTCCAGTAAGGAAGTCCTGGTCCTTTAGGAATTTGTCCTCAAGCACCTGCAGGCACCTGTCCAGCTCAGTCAGCGTAGATGCCAATGTCTCAGGGGGCACCTGTTCGCCCAGGAACACTGGGAACATCATCTGTTGGGTGGGCAGGCAGAGAGAGGGCTCAGGGTCTGCCCAAAGCCCAGCCCGTTCCTGCTGTCATCCAGTCTATCACCAGGCCTTCAAACTTCTCCTTACTCCCACCCACTCCTTCCACCCATGGCCACCACCAGCCCAGGCCTCATCTCCTATTCCAGCATGGACCGCCTCCACCTCTCCCTACATCCTCATGCAGGGCAGCCAAGGGAGAACCTCTGCAATCCCAGTCTTCCCATAACACTCCCTCCATAAAGCCTTCCATGGCTCCCCACTACCCTCACCATGAAAGCCTCAACACAAGGCCCCTCCTCGACACCACAGCCACCCCTTCCCCACTGCCCACCTCCTCCTCCACCCCAGGCTTCTCAAATGGGACAATGCGTGCAAATCCCTCTGGGATCTGGTTAAAGTGCACATTCCCAATCTGTGTGCCTGTGCATTTCCAAGCTCCCAGGTGGTACTGATACTCCTGGTCCCTGGATCGCTCTTTGAGTAGCAAAGGTCTATACTCCACTTGATTTCTCTCCATTCTGCCTTCGAATGCACCAGGCTCCTGCCCCTACCAGCTGAGGGGGCTCCTTTCTCAGACCCAAGAGGCTCGATTGAGGAAGCCAATTCTAAAGTTATGGAAGCCTGCATTTTGCCCAATGGCCCTTCAGAACAATGGTACTCTACCTACAGCTGAATATGAAGATGCCTGTCTCATGCTCCCTCACATGCACAGGGCACCCACTGTGTGCTGGGCCCTTTATAAGTACCATAAAAATAATAATTCACAGCACACATTTCAAAAACATGTGTACATTTGATGGGTAAAAATGGTATCTGTTCTGTTTAAATGTGCATTTACTTGATTCTTAGGTTAAATGTATTTTCATCCACTTAACGACCATTTCTTTCTGTCCTTCAATTAAATCTCTGCTAATTTCTTGTGCCCGTTTTTCTCCCGTGCCTTTGTTTGATGGCATTCTGACAGCATCTTAAATATTAAGAATGTTACTTCTGGGGTATCACTTCTGTTAAGCTTCAGCTCAGGTCAAGATGTCACAGTTCCTGGGTTTGAGCCCCAGGTCAGGCTCTATGCTGACAGCTCAGAGCCTGGAGCCTGCTTTGGAGTCTGTGTCTTTCTCTCTCTCTGCCCCTCCCTTGCTCACACCCTGTCTCTCAGAAATAAAAAAATGTTGAAAAAAAATTTTAATGTTTTATTTATTTCTGAGAGACAGAGAGAGAGACAGTGTGAGCAGGGGAGGGTCAGAGAGAGAGGGAGACACAGAATCTGAAGACAGGCGACAGGCTCTGAGCTAGCTGTCAGCACAGAGCCTGATGTGGGGCTCGAACCCACGAACCATGAAATCATGACCTGAGCTAAAGTCTGATGCTTAACCAACTGAGCCACCCAGGTGCTTCTAAAAAAAATTTTTTTGAAAAGAATGTTACTTCTTTCAGGGCACCTGGGTGGCTCAGTCGGTTAAACATCCAACTCTTAATTTCAGCTCAGGTCATGATCTCAGGGTTAATGAGATGGAACCCAGCATCGGGCTCTGCACTGACAATGGGGAGCCTGCTTAGGATCCTCTCTCTCCCTCTCTCTTTCTGCCCCTCCCCATCTCAAGCTCTCTCTCCTTCCCTTTACTCTCTAAAAAGAAATAAACAAATTTTATTTGAAAAAAAAAAAAAGAATGTTATTTCTTCCTAACAAATCTTTGCCAGTTTTTTGCTCGTTTTAAGTCGAATTCTTTGCTTACACAAAATCGTTGCATGTGTAAAATCTATTAGGCTTTCCTTTAAGTTTTTCAGTGTTCTTAGGCTTAGAAATCCTTGAACACCCAGAAATCAGATCAGCTTTATTGAGATGTCTCCTCATCTCTGCCTAGTTTCAGATTTTTCACTTAACACTTCTTTACTTGAAAAGTATGTGTGTGGCCAGAGGGTTTGACATTTTTTCTCTCCCAAAAGACAATGTCTCCAGGTAGCCGGGAGCAGGCCAAAGGGCATAAGATTGATTCTCAGCAGCTAAGGAATCCGAGCACATTGGGCGAAGTCAGCTCCCTGGCTCTGCCTTGGTTTCTCCTCTGGGAAACAAGTTGGTTGGACTAGGGAGGCTCTGGGATTCTAGAATTTGGTGTTCTAAGGCCTTGGTTCTGAACAAAATGTTTTAAACAGAGAGCACTGTCCCTTGAGCATCCCAGAAAGATCCTCAGCCTGCCACAGCTGACCTTCTGCCACATGGCTCGAGTGCAGCTACTCCGTAGGGCCGTGTGCTGCCATGCTAGGTACTCATCCACACGGGCACAGGCCTTCGGGTCCTGAGGGTACCAGTGGTCAGGGACTTCATACTTGCGACTCAGGTACAGCAGGATGGCCACACTGGGGGACACAGAGGGGGCAGGAACATGTACTAGTCATTCTTCAGCCATTCCACAAGGGCCAGCCCCCACTGCTCACATCTCCCCAACTCCTATGGGTGGAGCATTTCACTATCTCCAGGGTACAGAGGAGGAATGTGAGGCTCAGAGAGGTTAGGTGACTGCCTCAGATCACACAGCTCTACATTAGGCCGTCTTATCATCTGAACTAAGGGCACCAAGTAAAAAACAACATGACTTAGGATTTCAGGAGGAGGAGGGTAGGGAACTCAAAGAAAGCTTCCATGAGGAAGGGGTGTCTGACATGGTTCTTGAAAAACAAGAGCAACTCATACCACTCCCCACCATAACCAGTACATGGCCATGCCAGGTGGAAGGCCAGCTTTCCCCTGACACTCCCTGGGGCTGGGACAAGGCCTCCTAGGTGAATGGGTCACTGCTTCCCACCCTATCCCATCTCCTCTCTACCTGCCCAAAGCCTCCAACCCCCACCCCCAGGAAGCCCTCCCTGACCTTCCCCTCCCCCCTCCCTCCACCATGTCTGGCCTGTGCATCATATCCAGCCAGAGCACCATGTCTCCATGGTTGTTGGACTGTCCAGCAACTAGATGTCCTGGATCCAAGTGGAATGTGATTCTGGCTCTACCATGGAGATACTATGTGGCCTCAGTAAAGGATACCACCATTCAGCTGCCAACCTGGAGGCTGGCCTGGGCTCTGATCTCTCCCACCCACCTCCAGCTCTTTAGCAAACTCAGGCTTGACCTTCAAGGGCATTCTGAACTGACCACTACTTCCCCCTGCCCCATCACCTTGGTCTGGGTCCCTGACACCTCTCTCTTGAATTAGCACAGTACCTTCTCAACCCAGCCAGAGGGATCCTTTAAAACCTAAGTTAGGGGGCACCTGGGCAGCTCAGTGGGTTAAGCATCTGACTTTGGCTCAGGTCATGATCTCACAGTTTGTGAGTTTGAGTCCCACTTGGGGTGAGCTCGTGTCCCCCTTCAGGTGAGCTCGACCCCCACTTTGGGTGAGCTTGAACCCTGCTTCTCTCTCTCTCTCTGTCTCTGCCCCTTGTGGGATTCTCTCTCTCCCTCCTCTCCACCCCCACTCACTTGCCACCTCCCCTCTTTAAAAAAACAACAAAAAAAACCTAAGTCAGATCTCAGCACTCCTCTGCTTAAATTCCTCCAATGGTCCCATCTTACCTACAGTAAAAGCCAAAGTCTTCCTGGCCCCACATGCTACCCTGAGACCTTAGCCCTCACTTTCTCCCCTCACTGACCCCAGCCACACTGGATGCCTTGCCGCTTCTACTTGTACACCAAGCACTGTTTCACCTCATATCCTTTGGCTTTGCTGTTCCCTCCAGCCAGAACTCTCTTCGCCACATACCTTGCACCTCTGTTCCTCTAGGTCTCTGCACAGATGCCTCCTCCTCATGGGGACCTTCATTCAACATTCTACTCAAAATCGCACCCACCCTCGCCCTTACCCTAGTTATTTCCTCCATGCCACTCATCACCACCTGGTGTTTTGCACCTTTACAGAGATTATCCATTCCCCCTTCTAGAACATGAGCTCCATGAGAGCAAGGGCTTAGAATTTGTTCAATGCTTTGGCCCCAGGGCCTGGATGGTTCCTGGCCCTGGTGGGTGCCCAGCAAATAGCCACCGAAGCTCTCTGGGTGTTCTCTGGACTCCCAGGGCAATAGTACTTGCCCGCAAGATTTGTAGAGGTGGTAGCTCTAAAGTACACAGTACAGCTACCCCTCAATATTTTGTGCAAGTCCTTCCCCTCTCCTGGCCTCAGTTTGCTCATTTGTACCATGCGGGGGGGGGGGGGGGGGGGGATACCATGACTCCAATAGCCCCTCCCAGCCCTCAGCTGCTCTGCCTGCTGGGGCTGGCACAGGTGCTCAGGGCCCATAAGCCATGGTCCAAGCCATCAGTCATAGATATACAGATGTCTGACCGGCCTCACAGGGCCTGTAACAGTCTGGGGACCTGATACCTCTCAGCCAAGGTGAAGTCCCCATCCTTTAAGGCTGGCACCTTCTTCAGGGGGTTCACCTGGACAAAAGCATCACTGTGGTGCTGGCCTGTGGGAGAGAACAGTGCAGCAGGTGAGGAGAACTGTGAGCCCTCTGAGGTCTCTGCCCAACCCCTATTTCAACATCCAGGTAGCAGCTTTCGGATGCCTTTATCCCTATTCAGGCAGGGCAACAGGAAGGAGACCACTCTGCGGGTCACCAGATCACAGACCCTGTGTCCCCCAACCAGAGGCCCACCCTTCCTGTGTCCACCCCCTTGGAAATCTGAGCCAAGCAGCAACTCAGCTTGGATATGGAGGGAGGGTGATTTCCTACAGCTGTAATCCATCTCCATCCCCAGTTAATTCCATCCATTGGTCGGGCACTCCAGCCTCCTCCCTGGGCTCTAGGCTTGCCCCCCTGTGATTCATCTTCCTATGCTGGCTGGGTGACCTGTCCACCCCTCAGAGCTCCAGACACACCTGCTCTCAGCCCTCAGTCCAGCTTCATTCCCTCCAGGAGTCCCTGCCCCATTCAGTCACCCAGCCTCCACCGGCGCAGCTCTTCTTTCTTTCTGGCGCCAAACCCTCAAGGCTCCTTCCCCAAATGGGTGCTCCCAGGTCTGAACCACTTCTACATTCCTTGAGCTGGGGCAGTGCTGGGAGGTACAACACTCACTGTGTGTGGAGTCAGAGGGCTTCCCCGGAACCAGGCTCCTGCCTGGCCATAAGCCCACGTGTGGGCCAAGTAGATTCTCTTCTACTGGGTGAAGAGAATCACCCCCACCCATTCTCCCTCCAGAAAATGCCTCTGTGCCCAGCCCCCGTCCCAAAGAGGGCTAGAAAAGCAGGGCAAGGTGGCAGCACAGCAGCTGGTGTCCCAGGCTGGGGGCACCAAAGACCAGATGGGCAGGCTCTGCCACGAAGGGGTTTCCCTCCTGGCCTGCCCAAGGATAGGCCTACTGTCCAATTGTTCTCCTGTCGGATTGCAGCCCTGCCTCGTCCCCTGGATTCTGTAAATGTGGAGGGGAGGTGGCCAGCCGCGGGTAGAAGTAAAGCGGGGCCCGGCCCCAGGTGGAGCAACTAACTCTCTCTTGCTGGCAGATGCAGAAATTCAAGAGACGCGGGCTACTCCAGTAAAGAAACGAGGAGGCAGTTTCATTGCTTTCTACCAGCCTCGGTGTGGGAGTGTTGGCGCACTCCCTTCGCTTCCCCACGCACCCCGCCTTCCAGTCCCCTGCGCCCCCCACTGTTCTCTGCCTGCTCTCTTCCCTCTTAACCTGTATTTTGAAAAATGTTTCGCACCCCTAGGCAAAGATCTGGGCTCTTGAAAAATACACAGCCGATAACTGAAGCCACGGTTTCCATACTGGAGAGTGACCCTTCTAGCCGGTCTGCGGCGCGGGAGGGCGGGGTCCCTCAGCGCACAGGCGGCCCAGGCCCCAGGGCCAGCCTGTCTGCCTGCCTGCCCGGCCCACCTTTGAGCAGCTCCACCGTGCGCAGCTCGAAGGGGATGCCGTTCTTCTTGGCGAAGATGTAGACGGCGCGGCAGGGCTGGGACAGCAGGTCCAGGTAGAGCTCTAGGCCCATGGCGGGAGCGGAGGGCCGACCCCGGGGTCGCGCCCTGGGTACGAGACTGGGATCAGGAACGGCTGGTTGGAACCGCCAGGCCACTGGACCAAGAGCCAAGCGCAATCCCGTCAGAGGGTTTGGGGGAGTGTCTGAGCCCCGCCACCGCCTCCCAGCCCATTGGCTGGCTCCGGAGAACTTTGGGCCAATCAGAGACGCCCCAGCTCTCCCTCATTCCCTCTCCGAGAATGTGTTGCGGTTCTCTGGGTAGAAACGGCACTGGCACTGGGAGACTTGGCCTCTGACCCGAGATTTTGCTGCCAGGTCACTGCCCTTCCCCTGACCTCAATATCTACCAAAGGTGTTGGAAATCAAATAACTATATCCTGGGTTAGGAGATTACAGGGAACACATTGTAAAGCAGAACACTGCTTTCTGGTCTTGCTGAAAACAGCAGATCGCGCTTCGCTTATCTAGTTAATGTGTATCTAGGGGTTAGATCCTGCCTATACCCATAAATTCCTTAGGTCATGTTATCTCATGTAACATTTTATCCTGCCTTGTTTTTCTGCGCGTTTTCTATTCGTTCTTACTGGCACATAGCCCACCGACGTGTTGCACAATGTTTCCCTAAATGTATGCTCAATAAATACTGCAGCTTGCGAGCAGCTCTGAGAGACTTCTCTTAGCCTCCCTCTCACCTCTTGTGACTTGCATGAAGTCTTGAGTAATCCTTTCTGCCATCCTCAGCTTTGCTGGAGGAAGCCAAAAGCCGAACTCACACTGGGGCAGTGAGGGATGGTAATGGGAACAGGACGTTAAGGTCACTTAATTTAGGACCGAAAAGGGCTTGGGTGCCTTCCATTGGCCCAAACCACCTCCCCGACTGAGAGAGGAGGGGCTTCTGATTCCCCGGGAGCACAAAGGGAGGCAAGAGAAAGGAGGTGCAGTAGCCTCCCCTATGGCCGGTGGCCAGGATGGAGGCTGGGGAGGTTTCTGGACCCCAGCTCACTGCAGAGGCCAGGCCCACACTACTGGAAAGAATGAGCCGCCCCTCCCTAATCCCTGGGGTCATATTCATTACACAATCCAGCTAATCCCTCTAGCAAATGGCTGAAGCCCCTGGGGCCCACCTAATGGTTTGCAGGAGGGCTGAAACTTCCCCACTGCCTTTGCAGGGCCAAGTCCTCCAACTGACACCGTGAGGGCTCCTGAAGTCTGTGGCTATGAACCCCATCCCCTAAGAGAGGCTCTTGGGGTAAAGAAATTCTGCCCCCAAAGCCAAGATTCAGAAAAAGCCCCTTGACAAGAGGTTGTTCTTGGAAATTTTAAGAATAGTTTGGCCTCCCTGATCCCCTAAGCTCTGGATTTATGTAAGACCTATCCTCCCAGAAAAGTGCCTTCACTTCTCTCCAAACTGGAAAGGACCATGTTCTCCATTCCCTTCATTGCCCTGCCCTCCTGCACAAATTGCCTTTGGCAGGATTACTGTAATATCCAATTTCCCTTCTTCCTCTTTGGCCACCCTTCAATCCAACCCGCCCCCCGAAGCTAGCCAGAATATTATTTTATTTTTTTTAATGTTTATTCACTTTTTTAAATATTTTTATTTATTTCTAGGTGAGAGAGAGAGAGAGACAGCGTGAGCAGGGGAAGGTCAGAGAGAGAGGGAGTCACAGACTCTGAAACAGGCTCCAGGCTCTGAGCTGGCAGTCAGCACAGAGCCCGACGCGGGGCTCGAACCCACGAACCACGAGATCATGACCTAAGCGAAAGTCGGACGCTTAACCGACTAAGCCACCCAGGTGCCCCGCCAGAATATTATTTTAAAATGCAGTCTGGTGGGGTGCCTGGCTGGCTCAGTTGGTAAAGTATGTGACCCTTAATCTCAGGGTCATGAGTTGAAGCCCCGCACTTGGTATGGAGCCTACTTAAAATAAAAGTAATTAAGTAAATGAATAAATAAATAAAACGCATTCTTAGCACACTATGCCTGCATATGGTTTACAGATCACAGGCATGGCCTTTACGGCCCTGCATGATTGATTTCCTGACCAGGAGAGCTGCGATTCGGATTTTACCCTCCTGACCAACTCCACAGAACAGATGCAGGACACATGAGCTACAGTGCTTGGTATCAAAGGGCCATATCCTGGGAGACTGGCCAGCCAACTGGCTGATCACCATACCTACCGCCACCACATATGGGATGCCTGCTGCCCTCTATGCTGTCTGACAAATCACTTTCTCCAAGAACTAGAAGATTAGAGGACATTTGTTAATTTCACTCCTGGCAACCATCATGGAGAAGCTGACCCATAGGGCTTAGGAAGGGGTGTTGTCTTTGGGATAGAGAAGAAGACGAGGGCCAAGACAGAAGGTCAAATAAATCACACATTATTAGAAGTGCAGGCTCAGGCTGAGCTCAGGTTTATTTCCTAAACTGAAAGCAAAATGCAGTGATTAAAGAAGATAAGATCTGGGTGTTCCATTCTCATTGTGGCTTTCAGGCCGCTGCAGAAGATGGTGTGGGTGTAGGGACCTAACCTGGGGAGCAGAGGGACAGTGGGGCTCAGGCAAGTCACTCCTGCCCTCTGAGCCAGGCTCCCATAGGACATTGGAAATAAAGGTGCTTTGTGAACTGCCCAGGGCAGAGCAGAGACAAGGCTTCCTGGCTCACCGGATCATGGCCAGCACCCCAGGCATCAGCTTCTGCTTTATGGTGGGGTCTACAGGTGGAGAGTCCTTGGCCTTCAGGATGACCTCATGAGCCTCCCGGAAGAGCTCCTCTCCCATTGCTGCCTCCACACGCTGGCACCATGCAGCCAGCTTGGGTCTACCTTCAAACACTTGGCAGCCAGCACCCACAGGCTATAGGGAGAAAGAGAACAGGATGGGGGTGTATGGGTAAGGTCAAGGATGGCAGCACCAGCCTGGTTTGGAGACTGCAGAGCTCCAGAAGAAGTTTCCGTACATAAGCAAGACTTCAGCAACTCCCCAGGACCCTCGCCGCCTAGCAGGCCCACCCTATCCATAGCACTCACATGCATCAGCTCTGTAATGGCTACCAGGTCAGCCAGGGAGATGTGGGCCCCAGTTAGAAAGGCCTTGTTCTGGAGGAACTTGTCCTCAAGCAACTGCAGGGACACCTCCAACTCAGCAAGGGTGGCCGTCAGCATCTCAGGAGATACTGGCTCCCCAAGGAAAACAGGGAACATCACCTGGTAGGGGGGGAAGCAAAGCAAAGGGTTAGGAGCCCACCCAGACAGCCTCCAGGGCAGAAAGGCAAGTATGCCTCCTCATCCCAGTTTGAGCTGCTTTCTGTTTGCATGCACCTTTCTTCTCTAGCCTGAGTAGGCCTGCAGGGAAACTCCCAAAGGACCATCTTTCACAGAAATAGTCCTGCTTCTGTGATCTCTGATGGCTAGCCTCAGAGGCATCTGACAGAAGAACTCAAAGTCGTTCTCAAAGGGGACCTGAACAATAAGTTTTATACTTTGAAAGTAGGCATCTAGCTTGGGAACAATCTATTTTATAACATCTTTCCCCCCGAATATAAAGTCAGTACCTCTTACTGTATAAATAATTAGGAAGATGAGCTTTTAAGATTTCCACTCGGCCACTTACAGAGCATGTGACCCAAAGCAAAATCCTCAAACCCTCTGAGCTTCTATTTCCTCATCTATAATATAGGAATAATAGTACATGATTCCTCTTATAAATGGAAAAGTGGGGCCCAGAGATGCACAGCCAGTTGCCTGAGATGGCACAGCCAAGAAAAGACTAAGTCAAGAATAGAACCGACATTTTTGAGGGACTAAGGAGGAGGGCAAGGGAAGAGGGGTCTCCAGGATTCCAGGAGGAAGGTGTTTTAGGGGGAAGCCATCAACAGCCTCATGGCTGGCAGAGCTATCTGGGAGACACAGTGAATGGGGAGCGTCAGACGGAGGCTTCATGCTTTGTTTGGTATGGTCGCTTGGGAGAGCCTGGGATTCAGGTAAACAAATATACAGGTCTAGGATTGTACATAAGTCCTGGCTTTGGGCTTCAGTTTCCTCCCCCACACAAAGTAGACAGAATCAATGATTGCCCACTGGTGCCCTGGAGGCCAGACCTGAGCTAATAACCTTCCTTTGGCTATAGAGTTTTAGAAAATGTGGATCAGTTGCTGACATCTAAAAATGGGGACATTTCAAATGAGAGTCCTGATTTCCAGCTTCTTTTTAATGTAAAGGGTGCTGGCCATAGGGTATCCCCGCTCAGTATCTAAGGCTGATGTTGATGGGCTCTCAGTTTGCAGAATCCCACCCAGCCCTCCTCCCTCATTTATTATCCACCTCACCCCTGCAAGAGGTTGTAGACTGTCTACATTTCCCTTCTGTTCTGATTTGGTGGATCCAAAATGTTTCGGGTTTTAAAAAGTGGTTTTGTTCCCCCGCCCCTTTTTTCTTAAGTTTCTGTTGTTGTTGTTATTGTTGTTTTGTTTTGTTTTTTAAGTAATCCCTTCACCCAACATGGGACGAAATCCAGAGTCACATGCTCTACCCACTGAGCGAGCCAGGTGCCCTGTTCCTCGTTAAATATAAAAGACCATAATAGGGTAATACATACATTCTGATTTATTTATATAATGAATTACTATAGAGTAGGTTAAGAATGGACAAATTAGATCCACCCATGGCAATACAGAAAAATGCACATTGCAAAATATGAGAGCATTTATATAAAACTTTAAACACTAAAAGCAAAACTTTATTTTGTTTATGACTACACATAAATGTAATAATGTATAAAATCGTGACCTGGAAGGACTCTCACCAGATCCCAGAGCAGGTGGCCTCTCATGAAGGAATGAGGGCAACCAAGAGGTTTTTTGGCTTCTGGCTTCTGTTTCTGTGTTATATACAAAATGACAGGAGATAGAGAGTATGAGCAGGTGAGGAGCACAGAGGGGGACAGAGGATCCAAAGTGGGCTCCATGCTGACAGCAGAGAGCCTGATGCAGGGCTGGAACTCATGAACCGTGAGATCATGACCTGAGCCAAAGTTGGACGCTCAACCGACTGAGCCACCCAGAGGCCCTGAAGACCCATACACTTTAAAAAATGAGGAATCCCATTTCTGATTAGGA